ATTATTTTAATATATCAACTAACAACTAACTATACTAACTTTTTTTCAAAATTAACTATAGTTAGAAAAAAACCAATTAATTTTCTAGATGAATTCATAAACAATCACCCCCTAGAAAACTAGAGGTGAAGTTTAGCTTACTGTATTTTAAAAGTTGATAACTTTTGTGTTTCTTATCGTTTTACATATATTATATATCAAATTAATAATCTTTTGATGATCTTCGATTTGACATCCATATTGTATATATGAAATAAATAAATTATATATATCTTTATAATAATAAAAAATAATAATATTTATTCAAATTCATTAAAAAATTAAAATTATTTATGAATTGATATATTTATTTTTAATGTAGTTAGACGTTCTAAGTTAAAAAATTATTATAATATAACACAGGTAAGTCGCACAAATAAAAAGTGTTCTACTAAATATATAATAATATATATATTTTTGTAAAATGTATTTAATTTTCCAACTACCTTTTCTCATTAATTTTAGACTTTAAGAAAAAAATTAGAAGACACTACCGGACCGCATGGAAGCCTTGTGAAATGTATTCAGGATTTACTACGTTGACAATGGACTGTGACGCTTACTCATGACTATCGTGAAGCTAATTTTCTAGCGGATTACTTGGCGTCGTTGGCGGCAAAAGGACCAGGCGGTTTGCATATATTGGACAGCCCTCCTCCGGGAGCGGGGTTATGGTTACAACATGATATTGCCGGTGTGTCACACCCTCGTCGGGTGTTGATGTAGTCGGGACATAGGCTTTGCATCTTTTATTGTACCAATACACGAGTGTTATTACTAGTATATATAATAATTGAGAAGGTATTAAGCCTAAGTATCACATTCACATACTCCATGATCGTACGTGGCAAAATTAATTGGCTACTAGGCTTGGTAGATTGGCTGAAGTTACAGTGTGTGTGTGGCATCAGCAATCGGCATCACTACTTTCCAGTTTCCAGTTATTTACAGTAGTTCGCAATATCCATCCTATTTCGTTAGAGAAGGAAAACGAAAGAACGATGCTAATAACTGCTGATTATCCATCTTCCTCTGCTTATAGGGTTTGCTTCTTGAGACATTGCTATTCCAATTCGTGTTTCATAGTTCGTCGCAGAAGCTGCAGAGCTACTCTCATAACGAATTCCGATTCGTTCGAGGTTGGAAGGCTAATTGGCAGCTATGGATTCGTGAACATCACTAGGTTTGTTCTTCAATTCATACGAATTTCCACGAGTATTTGTACTCCATTCGCCTTGTTTTAATTTCTACGTTGGCAAAAAAATGGTGAGAAATGTAGTTATTCGGGGTTGCAGTCGAGGATGGACATGGAAATTTCGCGTGAGGACGTGGGGAGATTGAGGTCTCAGGATGTTGGAGAAGGAAGTGTGAAAATCAGGTATCGATTTTGTTCTTCGTCTGTATTTGTTATTTGTAGAATTAACAATTCTGCTGGGACGTGGCCGAGTGGTAATTTTATAGGGTAATGTCGATTTAACGTGTGATTATCAGTTGCGGGGACTTGTGGATGATTTTTCGTTCACTTCTTGTTCATGGTGATTATTGGTTGCTGTTTGCTTATATTGTATGTGGCAGCTAATTTGCAGACTTTATGAAGGGAGAATAGCTCAGGGTCCACTTAGAGGTACTCCTGTTGTTTTCAAGGTGATTGTTGTTATATTCCTAATTCCTTTAGTTTTTTATATTGTTTGTGTGCCCGTATTGTTTGCTAATATGCGAACGATGTGTGCTATACATGATATGCTGAATTATATGTTCGGTTTGTTGATGGTATTTAACTGAAGCTGCAATTGGTTATCCTTTGTTGCTAATTTGAGAATCTTTATCGAGAAAATGGTTTGATGTTAAGTATGTATGTTGTACATGATATGCTGGATTACAATTTGTGTTTCGTGACTTTATTTCAAAACGGCAAATTCTTTCTATTTTTTTTTTTTTTTTT